ATTTTTGTCTAGCAAGAGGGTATATCATTTTTAATATGAGCAGAAATAATACAGAGAAAATCACCCTTAGAATCTGCTCTTGTTATCTCCCTGTCCAATTGAGTTGCCGATAATATATCTAGAGTGAGATCAGACTGAATTCCTTTTAATTTGATCAACATTCCTTTGATGTTAAACTGCACAATATGTTTTTTTAAGTTCATGAGGGTCTCCCCAAATTGGCGCAACAAGTCAACTCCTATCACCATATCGCAGCCACCCAGCTTGAGCAATCTAACAGATGTACTGAATTTATGTTCTCCCACTTCCTACTCGAATGAGGGGCACTTTGAATTACATTCCACCTTGTTGCAATCAACCACAATTATCATCCATCAATCTGTGTACTCAATGGTGCAAATCAACTTAGTGGCTGCTTAAGGATCTAATAAGGTATGAGTACTCCCCGAGTCTAAAAGGATGATTAACTTGTAACGTTTGGCTCTGCCCAAGAGTTTGATAGTATTATAGGGTGTTTCACTAGCAACAACATTTAAGGATATTTGAGGATTCTCAAACTCACAATCCCTCTCATCTAGTTTTACAGATTCAGTACTGCCCTGGTCATCCTTTTCTTCCATTATAAGTTACAATCTTTTGCATTTGTGCACCAAATGAAATACTTCTTCATTACAATTAAAACATAAGTTCTTCTCCTTTCTTGCTTTCATCTCTTTGGGTGTTAACCTTTTGATTGGTGGGGGTTTGGTTTTCCCCAAATCACCTATCACTTGGTTTCCTTCTATTTTATAAGTTGAAGGTATAACAGGTTTACCTAATGTCCTTTGCCCATTATTGAACATATTAACAATATCTTCACTTTTGAGAGCCAATCGAATGGTAGACATACGGGTATTAGGCTTTTGCATAGCAACAAATTTGTCAATATCCTCTCTTAAACTTAGGGATGACAACGGGTCGGGTCTAACCAGACTCAAGACCCGACCTGAAAAAATATATATGGACACAGGACCCGAACCGGACCCGATTGGACCGGACAGACCCGACAATTTTAGAATTTTTACTTTAAATAGGACCTGGATCCGGACCCAGACCCTCATAAAAAATTATCTATTTTTTTTTCAAGAAATTATAAAAAAATAACAACAAATAATAAGCAACAACAATAGTAATAATTCAATAAAAAAAATAAAACTAAATATTGCATATTATGATTTATAATAACCAAATATGCAATCTTTTGTGCATTCATTGTAAAAAATCTAAACACATTAAAACAAGTCATCGATCACAACGTAAAATAACAATAATCTTCATTGTTCATCGCCATCTCCTTCTTCATAGTCAAATGCTTTTGAGCATCCGGAAGTCAAATTGCTACCTAAAATAATAAATCAACAAATAATATAAGTCTTACAATATAATAAAATATAAAAATATTAATTAAAAATATATTAAAATTAACTTACAATTTGCTTCATTCCATAACCAATGTCGAGCACATACTAATGCTTCCAAAGTAGAAGGATTAAGTCTACCACGATTAGGGCTAATAATTCTTCCACTATTACTGAACGTAGATTTGGAAGCAACATAGAAATTGGAATAGCCAAAATATCCTTTGCCATCTTCTGTAAGTAAGGGTACTTGACTCCATTCGTCTTCCACCAACCTAATATATCAAAATTTTGTGTCATCGGTAAAACGATTTCTTCCAAATAAATAACCAACTCTGACATTGTAGAAATCCTAGAAAAATCATTCATACTTGCCACAAATTGATCATATTTCTTCAATGAATCTAGATAAAATGCATTAGTAGAAACAACATTGTGAGTCATCGCACCTCCCAGATCCAACATACCAACATCAACCGCCAAGTTCATATCCGTAGAAGACGTGGCTCTAGATTGGTAATCAATCAACAAATCATAACAATTTTGACAAACTTGATTAACTTTGATCTCAGCTCCATCACCATATATCATATTAAAGTAAAATTCAACCAACTTTAACTTGTACTTAGGACCCAATACAACAGCAACCTCCAATATGATATGACAATCACTCCAATATTTTTCATACTTTGCAAGCATTTTCTTCGTCATTTCTTGAACCAACACATTTGAAATCTTCACCTATTCATCTAATTTTTTTTTATTTTATCTCACATATATGAGTAAGATAAAAATTTGATGTAGGATAAAGAGTTCCTGAAAACAACTTTGTCACATGATAGAAAATTTTCAACTTTCCACATATTTTAATTGTAATTTCCCAATCCTCATTACTTGGCTCACTACTGTAATTTATCTCTCGACATTTAAGTCGTGGGAACACATCTTTATAAATAATAGTCGTTTCTAACAATAGATAAGTAGAGTTCCAACGAGTTTTGCAATTCAGAACTAACATTCTAGAACAATTGATACGCAATTGACGATCAGCTTCTTCAAATTTCTCAATTCTAAAAGGTGAAGCAGTCTAATATATCACACTATCACTCACTTTTTCAATTGCACCACTAATTATTTCCAACTCATCTCTAACAATCAAATTTAAAATATGTGCAGAACAACACATATGAAGTACCTTTCCATCCATCAGCATATTTTTTGACGATAGTTTCCCCAAAATTTGTTGAATCATCGAATCATTGGTAGTACAATTATCAACCGTAATAGTTGATAATTTCCTATCAATATTCCAGTCCATCAAAGAAAAAATGAAGACATTTGATAAGACTTCAGCGGTATGAGAAGCCGGTACATAAACAAACCTAAGAAATGAAAGAATTGTTAGTAAGTTTCAATTATCTATACAACAAAAATACCAAAATAAAAAAATTATTTTTAAGTAAATATACCTCAAAATGACATTCTTCAAAGTCCAAGAGTCATCGATATAATGTCCAGTAATTGACATAAATCCTTTCTTATTATTGCTTGAAGTCCACATGTCCGTTGTGATAGTAATTCCACTATTAAGCTCGTCTAATATCTCATAACACTTGCTTTTTTTTAAACCTCATAAATTTTAAAAATGTTACATTTCAAAGTGTTTATTGTAATCATGTTAAAATATGACTGAAGATTACCAACAAATCTTCAAAAACCAATATGATCAACCATTGTCAATGGATAATCATGCAAAATCACTGTTGTTGCAAGATCGTGCCTTGAATCTTCTTGATTAAACACACGTTTTCAAGTGCTTGACCTCCACCAAGTTTTTTGCTTCCCATCATCATAAATTTTTTCGAATATCCATTTTCATTTGTCTTTTTTTACAAACTTTTTCAAAATGCTTTTTCAAATATGTCATTCCACAACCACTCAGTATTTTGAGACGGGCTTTGCAATAGTTGCATTATGCATATATCACATCATCAATTTTTTTCCTTTCAAAATGATCCCACCGTTCCGATGCCCTTTTTCTTTTACAATCGGTAGTCATTAGTTTCCAAACTATCATTGTTAGTATTTTTTTCCGAAGTTTCTTGTGTTTTCATATTTTCCTGAATGTTGCTAACCGAAGGAATAGAATTGTCAGCTCCTTTAGAATCCATCTGCAAAATAAAAAAATAATGCACTTGAGAACTATGAATTATCAATTAAGTTTTTTTTTTTTAAAAAAAAATTGCATTTGAATTTAAGAAACACTGCATTTGAATTAATTTCTAATTTTTATACAAAATAGATCAATAACATTATGAACTATCAAATTATCAATTTTTTTTTTAATTAAATGTACTATTGCAAGCCGACAGTAAACAACAAGCAGGGCAAAGAAAGTAAAATTTCACAATAATAATAATAATAATAATAATAATAATAATAATAATAATAATAAATAAATAAATAAAACACCATCATCTTGATTCAGTTTTGAATCAACCGACAAATAAAAAAAATCAATCACCACCCCTGAATTTCGAACTCAACCTGAACAAAAATTTATTCTTAACAACTATCATCTTGCTACAATTTAGAACTCAAACTAAACAAAACCCATTATAATTATTTCTTCATTCATTTACTTTTAATTTTTTTATACCCAAAATCCAACAAATAATAGAAAAAAAAATCTCACAACACCAAAATAAATAAGTAAAATTACACAATAACTTACCCTTATACAAAAAACAGCAGTGCTTAATGATGGAAGATTGAGTTGAAGAATGGATTAGATGAAGAAGAGGGAAGAAATCAACAAGAACGGTGCCGTGGTGGTGTGTCGCCTGCCTGCGTGAGAATAAATTGGGGCAGAGGGGGCTGCTGCTAGGTTTTATTAATCTTAGGCGTGAGAATAAATGGAGGCGGGGGCTGTTGCTAGGTTTTGTGAGGAGAAATATAATATAACTCAGTTTTTTTTTTTTTTTTTTTTGTAATTAAAAGCCGGGTCGGGTCCGAGTCCGGGCCTAGGTCGGGTCCATGCTCGGGCCTAGGACCCGACCCGACCCTTAATTTATTTTTACCTGGACTTTGACCTGACCCTAGACCCGAATATTTTGACCCGACCCCAAATAAATGGGTCGGGTCCGGGTCGGATTTCGAGTCTACCCGGACCCATTGTCATTCCTACTCAAACCTCTGATAAACTCTTCACAAAATATTATTCATTCAAGGCTTTGTTGCTTTCTCTCATTAAAGTCTTTATTTCTTCAAATTCGTAAGTGTACAACCGCACAGTAATGGTTTGTATGAGTTTATTAAATTGAGCAACGAGACTACCTCTAGTTGGATTCATGAATCTCTCCAAAACTAATATAGTGAATTCAGCCCACTTCAGGTTAGGTCTCCCTTTCGATATAGTCTACAAACTAATTATCAGCTGCCCTTCTAGATTCATAGCAACTAAGTTAAGTTTTTCATAATCAGTCATTTGATTATAAGAAAAATATCTAGAACATTTTCTAAGCCACAATCTAGGATTATCCCTATTGAATTTAGGAAATTCTAACCTCAGTTTATTATTCGGCAGACTGGAATAAGACTCATTCAGTATAGTTGTTGGGTAGAAACAAGAGCAACGCGTGAAACATAAGGATTAAGAGGCTCCTTACCCCTTGTCGAAGGTCCTGCCTGTTGTTCCTTTATTAGGCTTAAGAAATAATTTTTCGGCATCTCTCCTAGGCTTTCCAACTTCACATCCAACTTCGATTCTAGCCTAGCTTTCATTTGGATTTGGCCTTGCAACATTGTGCTCTGACCTTCCATTACTTCTTCGATATGTTGCTCTAGAGTATCGAAGTGATGAGTATATGATGGCGCCATAAGAAGGATTAGCATGCTCTGATACCAGATTGTCAGACATAGAAGAATTCCAGAGAAATTGAAGAAGAAACAAGTAAGTCTGTTCTTATTTTGCATAATTATCTTATGAGGTAATACAATAGTATTTATAGAGTTCTCAACACATACTTTTACAAAAAAAAAATTAAAAAATACGCTTTTAAAAGGATACGAAATAGCATAAATAACTTCATGACACAATCTAAATATATATATATATATACACCACAAGTGCTTTTATAGGCAAAATTGCTCATAACTTCCTTGTGGTTACGAAATTCAACGTAAATTTATCTTTTACTTTAAAAATTGCATGGCGTCAGCTTATACTTTAAAAAATATAAAATGAAATCGCTTTGTGGTTTTAAAATTCAGCATAAATCCCCACTTTATTTTAAAAATTACATAGCGCCCCCTTATACTTTCAAAAATATTGTATGAAATCCCCCGCCAAGCAAAAAATACAACTAGAAAATCATCTTCTCATTACACAAGGAAGGTTTTATGGTGGTAGAGTTTCATGAAACATTTTCTAAAGTATAGGGAGACGTCATGCAATTTTTAAATTACAGAGAGATTTTACGCTGAATTTCGAAACCACAGAGGAGTTATGAACAATTTTACTGCTTTTATATAGCATAACATTGATGACAAGATCAAGAAACATAAAATATATTGTTTCCAACATATATTATTCTATTTTTTGTCCATATTTTATCTTGTGTACCAACATATATATACAACAACGGCTACATCCTCAATTTAAAATTCGGCATTGTGCTGAAAAGTACATGTATGCTTATTGGCGTCATACAATATTATTATTGACATTACATTATATATGTTAATATAATACATATATATCACATGAACTAACAACACATGTTATAGTTTCATACAACATACAACAAGAAATTTTAGCAGATCATATATTCTTATACAAAATACATGTATTAATGAACAAATAGTACATGTCTTTATTACACAAAAATGTATTTTATATAATATGAACATGTGTTGTTTGTATATGTATTTTCTAAATTAGCATCCTAAGCATTCTTTTATATATATATATATATACCTAGATATTCAAATTTAATTGTATTACAACTATGATTATTTAATTTTTATCACATTATAATTAAATTTCAAGATTGATTCAAGAACTCCAGCATTCTTTTGGCTTGCCATGTAGAAAACCCATTTTTATATTTAAGACCGAATATAAACAATGATATAAAATCACCAATATTTGATATTTACGTAAGAATATTACAATAACTTCCCATATATACAGAGGGAATATATATATATATATAAATTATTAGGAATGTTAATACTGAAAATATGATAAATAATTATGAATTATTTGGTAAATATTATATCATGAATATTAATTATTCTAATTAAATTACAAATAATTATAATTGTCAGGAAATTATATTGGAGATGAATATAATACTAATAAGGAATCAGAGACGATTGGCTGCATGAACAACTCAATTTTATGTCAATTGAATCAACCCATATATAACAATATAAATATAAATATAGGAGAGAGATACAGTCACAGTCACAGACAGTGATAGAGATAGAGAGTGATTTTGAATGGTGCATTGATAGATTGTATTACAGTAGCAGTCAGTCCCATGTCATGTCATGTTATCTCATGTCGACTGTCTACGTAATCTTAATATTGTCTGCTCTTCATTCCCGCATAAACATCATCAATTCTCTATATTAATTAATCAATTAATTAATTGATTAATAATACTCATACATTCCCAAATATGTCACGGCCAAATCCTCCGCCGAAGCCACCGCCGGCGCCGCCGCCACCGCCAAACCCTCCGCCTTGCCCGCCGCCGAAACCGCCGCCAAATCCTCCGCCCTTTCCAAACCCTCCGCCTTTGCCGCCTCCAAAACCACCGCCACCACCTCCGCCGGCCCCGCCGCCGAAGCCACCGCTCCCACCTCCGGCTCCACCCCCGGCGCCGCCTCCAAAGCCGCCACCTCCAAGGCCTCCGCCTCCACCAGCTCCGCCGCCGGCACCGCCTCCGAAGCCGCCGCCGCCTTTTCCAAAGCCGCCACCGAAACCACCACCTGCGCCGCCTCCTTTACCGGTGTCGCCGTCGGGGCCATGTCCGACCCCCAGGCCTCCACCGCCACCCGCACCACCACCTAACCCTCCGCCTCCGCCGGCACCACCTCCCATTCCCCCACCCTTACCAAATCCACCTCCGCCAGCACCGCCACCAATTCCACCACCTCCACCAGCACCCCCGCCGGCTCCGCCCCCTACGCCACCACCTTTACCAAAACCGCCTCCAGCACCGCCACCAATGCCTCCCCCTCCACCAGCACCCCCGCCTGCACCGCCCCCTACGCCACCCCCTTTACCTGCACCCCCGCCGGCACCACCCCCTATGCCCCCACCAGCACCCCCACCAATCCCTCCACCACCACCGGCACCTCCTCCAGCACCGCCACCTACTCCACCTCCTCCAGCACCACCACCTACGCCACCCCCAGCACCGCCACCTACGCCACCTCCAGCACCACCGCCAACGCCCCCACCACCACCGGCACCTCCACCCGCGCCACCGCCAATCCCCCCACCAGCACCGCCCCCTTTCCCAACACCGCCACCAGCACCACCGCCAATCCCTCCGCCACCACCAATGCCTCCTCCTCCACCGGCTCCGCCGCCAGCACCGCCTCCTATACCACCACCTTTACCAAGGCCGCCACCAGCGCCACCTCCCACACCTCCTCCCGCACCACCCCCAATTCCTCCGCCTCCACCAGCACCACCTCCAACTCCTCCACCACCGCCTTTACCAATGCCGCCGCCGGCGCCTCCGCCAGCACCACCACCAATACCCGGCAATCCTCCACCAATCCCACCCCCGCCCCCCCCCCAACACCCCCTCCACCCCCAAAGTTCAAAACCCCAACATCCCTCCCCACAACCTCACTCGCCACAATCACAAAAACAAAAGCCAATCCCCAAACCCTAATTCCCATTCCCCTCCCCATATACAACACTTCACAGCACAATCTCCCGAATACGTACATATAAGCCACCACCCCACCCCATATATATACCCACCCACCCACCCAGTAAAAAAGCATCCGTTTCGAGTCGCTTTCAATGCCCAACTCATTAATTAATTAAATGAACGGCCAACACCCAACCGTTTCCACGCGTTGACAACACACTCATTTCCCCAACAATCTTTTCTTCTTAATTATTATTGAATAATGAAAGAATCCGACCTGTAATTTAGCAGCAGCTGATATGATTCTGTCGTTTTTTGAACTCCAATTCGCCTATAGCTAACTTTGTGTTCTCCCATGCAAAGTACCACCAATTAAACACACATTCAATTCCCAACTGTGACCAATAATATTTTTCTTTTTCTTTTTCTTGAAATTATGGCTATGTTTCTTTACTTAATTTTCTCTAAATTTTACTTTGAACATTGAGTTTCCCACAAAACTTCCCATCAAACATTATTTTCATACCAAACCCAAATCAATTTTTTTCCATACTCATAAAAAAAACACACCCTATATTGTTATGGGAAAACTATGGGCGTCTTGTCCAATAACAAAGTATTTATTTTATTTTTTTAAATAATTTTACTTTCTACTAACATTAAAAATACCCTTACAATTTACCGTATATTATAATAATGTCACTATTTTTATATCAAACAATAATAATAAAGTTATTTTAGTATTTTCATAATATAATACTAATATTTCTAAAACTGCAAAGTAGTAAAGGGATATATACAGATAAAGAACGGAGGGAGTATATTTTTTGAATAACATATTTTGCTAAATTTAGTAGCAGGCACAAAAATATATCCAAAGATACAAAAGGTGCCCTTTACTTTTAAATAAATTAAAAGGGATGTCTATTCATTTTGTATTTTTAGATAAATGTATATATATATATATTTTTTGTTAGATATGAAAAATTGTATTGATAATATGAGAAATAATATTTTGTGTTGAATTATTGATTTTTTGTGAGTGTATAATAAATATATATTGGGTGTCTTTGTTTGAAAGATTTGGAAGAATTTATAGTACTGTTCATACAAATTTTTTCCCCTAAAAATATCAAATCAAATACTTATTTTTTATTTTTTATATTATAATAAAAATCAATTTGACATTCAAAACATTACATCAATACTTATTTATATTACATCATTGTTCAAATTCAAATTTTTTATTATTCAAATCTCAACCTAAAATATAAAACCCCAAACAAACACACCCTATATTATATGTATTGTATTAATGTAATATTATACTTTTTTAATAACATTTATGAGAAATTGTTTCAATAAAAAATGCTAAGTGAACAAACCCATAGTTTTTAAATACATTAATTAAGTTTAAGTTGAATATATGTATGTCTTTGTTTAGTATTTTAATATGAAGTATTTTTTTTATACTAGGCATGTGATATTATATCCGTAATATAAAAAGTAATATTTTGTACTGAATATTATTTTTTTTAAAAAAAATATATTATATCACATATATTAAGAATCGTGTCTATAAATTTGGTTGGGCAAACATCCCTAAAAAAAGAATTAATTAATAAGGTTTTCATAGTATTGAATTCCCATGATTTCAATTTCTTCAACATAAAGACTTGATTATATATATATATATATATATATATATTCCATGGAAAATAGCATTAAACAAAACACCCCTTATATACATCAGATTTAATTATCATCGCCTCAGCTCACCTCCTACACATGGTTTGCCTAGCGTAACTTTTCTGTCGGGCTTGATTTGCAGGGTATTAGGTTCGGCCGGAGGTTTACCCAATGCGCACTTTCAAATAGCGGCTGCGGATTTCCATATCATAAAAAAAATATTTAATTATCATAATTGAATCAAATCCATTTACGTGCATACATATTTATGTTTACAATTTCACAATAATTATTGGGTAGAAATCATTTTGATAATAACTCTAATAATAACATTTTTAGGATGGGTTCGTTTGGCGGACTTTCCAAGATTTTTAGTATTTATCAATTTCTTTTTTTAAAAAAATTTTTATCGAATTAAATACTTATTTTTTATTTTTATATTATATTAAAAATCAATTCAAAATATCATATCAATTCACATTTTTACCATTCAAATTTTAACTTGAAATTCAAACTCCCCAACCAACACATTTGTGTCCAAACATATATTTTCAAATAAAAAATAATTTATTATAATAAAAATTCATCAATATGCTACCATCGGAGTTAAATATGGTCTCACTATTATTAAACAACTTTACCAATATTAACGAATTTTTGTTATAATTAATACGACTATTATTTATTAAAATTTACTAAAAATAACTAAATTTAATTAAATTAAAACTACAATTGTGTGAAATAAAATAAAAAAAAATACCCAATTATATATCTCAATTGTAAAACATTAGAATAACCATAAAAATTTTGAAGAAAAGGTGTGTGAATGTGTACGAGCAATTGATTATATTGGTATATGATAATTAAATCTTGATGTATATAATTTGTTCACTCAATCTATTTTTCAGATGAGCCGATTCTCATAAATATTATATAAATATAATATATATACTTTATTTATTTAAAAAAATCAACAATTTAATATAATATTATTTTTTATATTATCGACATGATTCTATATATTTAACATAAAAAAATATATTTATCCAAAAATACCAAGTGAACACATCATCTATTATATAAGTGTATTTAATAATTTTTTTTCCACACATATATAATAAGATATTACGTAGCACATTGAGATTGTGGAAATGCTGTATTATTTATATTATAGTTTCGAAAGGGTTATATATATTGTTATTCAACTAATTTTTTGGGGTTTTGGATTTGAATTTTGAGTTGAGATTTGAATAATAAAAATTTTAAATTTGAATAGTTGTATAATGTGATATAAATATGTGTTGATGTGATGTTTTGAATGTAAAATTGATTTTTAGTATAATATAAAAAATAAAAAAATATGTATTTGATTTGATATTTTGAGGGGGAAAAATGGAATAAATAGTGGATTTAAATCCAATCCCCCAAACAAACACAGTCTTAACACGCTTTATAATTTTTTATTTTTTATTATTTATTTTTAACGTCTCAACTACTGAATTAATGTTCTTTTGAAAGTTTTTACTAATTTTGTTGTTCGAATATTTATTGAAATTTTTATTATTCCGTACAAGCTACAACAACATATTTGACATACACATTGAATTATCTCTACTTCAATTTCTATTTGGGTTTCAATGTTGTTTTAAATAGTGCTCTTTGTGTCCGGAAAAAAAAGTTCTCGTTTGGGCATGTCCTAAATTTTATTATTTGGACTCTGCATTTTAAAAAAAAATACATTTTTTTCATATCATAAAATATTTCATCAAACATTATTTTCATACTAAACCCAAACTATTTTTTTTTTTCCCAAACTCATCAAAAGAAACACACAATTTGTTTTTTGTTCTTTTTACAAAATTAAAAAAATAAATAATACTAGTATTTCACATATTGCATTGAGTATAATGACAAAAATACCTTTTTGACTTATTACTCCATCCATCCGACTAAGAAGGTGTTTGGGAAACAGAGCGTTTAGCTTATTGAATAATTTTTAGTTTTTGACCAGTCAAAAAGTTAATTTAGGTGTTTGGTAAATTAGCTTTTTAAAAGAGCTTTTTGGACCCAAAAAACTAATTTTTGAAAATCTCATCTACCCAACGTTTTGAAAGAGCTTTTTCATTTTAATTTTGGTTATTTCTTATTTACCCTTAAAACTTAATTATTTATTTTATATATGTATAAAAATATTTTTATAGCAGTATTTATTAATTATTTTGAATATACTTAATTTATTAGATATATTTTTATTTTTGTAAATTTAAAAAATAATTACTATTATAAATTATTACATATAAATTATTTTATTCGTAAAATATATAAATTTTCAAAACTAAATCAAATAGAAAAAACAAAAGTTATTAATTTATTTATATATATTAAAAAAATAATTAACATAATAAAAATATATATACGAAAGATTTATTATTTTATATTTTACATAATTTTAATAAAAAATTATTATTTTTTAGTAAAAATAATTTTCTTTGATCTAAATAATAATAATAAAAAAAATAAACATTTTATAATACTTTTTATAAATTTCAATAATTAATAACATAAATTCTCATAAATTTCAAACCAAAATGAACAAAATTAAATATTTTAAAAATATATATATCAATGTTCTTAATAGTAATTTTACGTATAAACAGCTAATGTTAAACATTGTTTTACCAAACACTTTAATACAAACCGCTAATTGAATCAGCTAGTCAAACCAGCTAATTGAATTAGCTAACACCTAAGCTATCAACTAATTGATAAATGCACCCTAAAAGTTAGAGTTGATAGACACAGTTCAAAAACTCGATCCAAACCCGGCACAATAAAATTATGCATAGACCACAAAAAATAGGCTCAAATTTTCCGAGTTGTGCTTGGCCCAGCACGCAAATTGACCCGTCTGTGCCCGGACACATGAAAATCGGGTCATGCGTGACTATTGTAAAATTATTGAATATATGAGTATTATTTATAAGAGATGTATAAAAAAAGAAAATCAAACGAATACATTTATAGTGGCAATCGAATAAAGTAATACTCCTTCCGTCCCAGAAAGATTGTCATTTTTCATTTCCGTTCGTCTCAAAACAAGATTATCATTTATTAATTTAGTAATTGTATTACCTACTTAACATAATAAATATCTTTTTAACTTACACTATATTACGCAAGTCTCGTTACGTTTATATTACACAATACTAATAGAAATATTTTTTTTTTCACTATAATCCTATATAATACTATATTAAAAAATCTATGTGCAAAAAGTAAATGGTACCCATTTTATGGGACGAATGGAGTATTTTTATTTTTTTTAAAAGAATAATAGTAATATATTTTTTATTAAGAATTAGGCAGAATAGTAAAAATCTTTTGAAATTAAAACCAACCAAATCCTTAA